ATCGCTCGGACGTGTGCATTCTTCCTTGGGCGAGGACCATCGAGGAGCATCCTTGACCATTTGGCGAAAAACCACGCACGTAACCGGAAAAAAAAACACAGGGAATGGACGTCCAAGCGATGGCCAGCAGGAGCTCTCGCGCCCTCTGAGAGGTCCGTTGCGTCTCTGGGGAAGACCGAGACAGCTCTTCAGCAGGCCGAGGGACCCTCCGAGCTTTCCGAGAAGGCCCGCCCCTTCCCGCTTCCCCCTGGACTCGCCGCCGACCCGTGGACACCTTGAGGCCCGGCTGCTCCCGTGAAGCCCACGAGCCCCACCGCGGCCGCAGCCGCTCCCGCGGCGCGCCGCTGCTTGGCATCGCTCGGGCGTGTGCATTTGTCTCGGCGAGGCCGGCGGCAGAACATCTGGACCATATTGGAGCATCGTGGGCCGCCTCGAGGAACAGCACGCACGGAGCCACGCAGTCCACGGGGAATGGGCGTCCGAGCGACGGCCGGGCTCGGCGACCTCGGCGCATCCCGCCCCAGGCCCGAGGCGATGCCGTTGAACGGCGGGCGCCGAACTCGTCCCGCGGCAGCTCCGCGGCGAGGCCTTGCGCATCTCTGTCGCGACGGTTCCGCTCGGGGGCGCTGCCAGTGGCGCGCGCCACCGCGCGCGCCGGCCGGCCTGCCTCTCTGTGCGGAGCCGGGAGCCGCCGCAGAGCCCCCGGAGGCCTCGTGCCCGCAGGCGCGCGGCCCGCACGCGGCGGCCGTTCGGCGCTGGACACCACAGGGCGTGAGCGCCCGAGGCTGCAGATGCTGCGCAGCGCGAGCTTAGAGCAGTGGCGAAGAGTCCTGGCTCGCTTATGGGCCTACCAAAGGATGTTCTCAGAGCCTTGTGTGGTTTCCACGAAATTTTCTTAGAACATTTCTGGCCGGGACTGTTGTGTTTTAGCACAAAATGCTTATGTTCTAAGAACCTTGTCTTGTTCTTATAACATTGCTGGGTTCTAAGACAAATTCGTGGTAGGCCTGTAGAAATGCTAGGACGGTCGGTCCCTGCTCAACAACTGCGAAGCCTACCCCTGCGGGCCGTCTCGGCGCGGGGGTATCGGACACACACGCTGGGGTTCGCATTTCTGCAGACATCCCTCGGGTGCTAAACACCAGCAGCCGTTTCGGAGAGCCGACAGCAAAGGTAGGGTCCACATCTGTCTGACTATGAGCAGGCAGGGGCAGATGTGGAGCCAGCGGTACTGTCACGCTCCCATCGCCTGCAGCACGCTGCGACACCGGCCACGGAGTGGGGCTGCAGGCATTACCGCGCGCGCGGCTAAGACCTTGCCCGTGCGCCTCGAGCTGGGGAGCAGCGCGCGCGCGGGGGGGACGGCTTCGTGAACGCCTGCCACGCTGCCAGATAGCTTGCGTACATGGAGCTGCGCGCGGTGCGAGGCGCTGGCCGTCGATGAGAGCTACCTCGACGAACCCTCCACGTCATCCTCGGGAGGATGATGCGTCGGAGGAGGAAAATTAGGAGGAGGAGGAGGAGCAGAGTAAACCCAAGACTCATCAACGATATTGCAATCAACCCTCCCACCGAGTTCCTTCTTTATATGCCCCATACAGGAGTTCGTCTTCATTGAGGGAAGTACCACATTAGAAGACAACCGTTTGAAAATACTGAACTGTGCCATAGCACCATTCTTGGGACTTCAACGCCGCGAATCACCGTTACGATTGTGCCGTGGCGATCCCGAATCGTGCCAGAACGCCCTGTCTGGGACTTTGCGTCCGCGAATCACATATTTTTACGCCCCGACATTCAGACATCGTGCCAAATTATCGTTTCCGGGACGTTAGCCACGCTAATCCTTAGAACACGGCTGCGAACACCACATTAAAAAAAGGAGCCGCCCGCCATTCGCGACACGCTGGTATTCTCTGAGGCGCATGCGCGTGGCGCTAGGGCGAGATCGGCATTTTGAAGAGGAACTGCCCTCCCTCCGTGAAATTATCTTGCAAGTTGACACACGAGCGTGCGCGGCGCTGATGCCGAGATGACGACGATGATGATGCTGATGGTGTTGATGGTGAGGTGGATGATGGTGATGACGATGACGATGACGATGATGTGATGACGATGATGATGCTGATGGTGATGGTGATGATGATGGTGATGATGATGAGAATGACGCTGATGCTGCTGCTGATGATGATGATGACGATCTGGATGATGACGATGCTGTTGACGATGAGGATGTTGGTTATGATGATGCTGATGATGCTGCTTATGATGATGATGGTGGTGATGAGGATAATTATGATGGTGATTGTGATGATGATGCTGATCATGATGATTAGGTTGGTGATGGTAATGCTGATGCTGATGCTGATGATGGTGATGCTGATGCTGATGCTGATGGTGCTGCTGCTGCTGATGATGACGATGTTTGTGATGCTGATGATGCTGATGATGCTGATGATGCTGTTGCTGATGATGATGATGATGATGATGATGATGATGATGATGATGATGATGGTGATGGTGATGATGATGTTGATGATGATGATGATGATCATGCTGATGATGATGATGGTGCTGCTGATGATGATGATGTTGATGATGAGGAAGATGTTGATGTTGATGATGATGATGGTGATGATCATGATGAGGAGGAGGAGAAGGAGGAGGAGGAGGAGGAGGATATTCATAATGATGGACGAGAGGTATGAGGAGGAGGAGGAGGTTGAGGAGGATGGGGAGGAGGGTGAGAAGGTGGAGGAGGAGCAGGAGGAGGACGAGGACGAGAGCGAGGACGAGGGAGGGGCTGGGCGTCGAGGGGGCAAGGCAGGGGGGGGAGTGGGCAGGGGATCGGAGAACGCAAACTGATCACCTCCCCGATCCTGGCAGGGTCCATCCTACAGGCCCAGGGCCAATGTGCTCGCCATCCTGGCGTGGCCGGGGAGGCGCAGCTGTGCACCAGCCGTGGGCTGGACCCGCGCCATTGTTCAGGCGAGGCGAGGGCAAGGACAGATCGTTCCTGCTCCTCCCGTTCGTCCTCCTGTTCCTGCTCCTGCTCCTCCTCCTCCTCCTCCTCCTCCTCCTCCTCCTCCTCCTCCTCCTCCTCCCCCTCCTCCCCTTCCTCCCCCTCCTCCCCTCTTCCTCCTCCTCCTCCTCCTCCTCCTCCTCCTCCTCTCTCCTCCTCCTCCTCCTCCTCCTCCTCCTCCTCCTCCTCCTCCTCCTCCTCCTCCTCCTCCTCCCCGTCCTCCTCCTCCCGTTCCTGGTCCTCTGGTTCCTCCTGTTCCTCCCTTTCCTCCACCTGGGGCGAAGACAGAACGTCCTGGAAGGCTCTCAGAGGGGTCAGGAGTGCTCTGGAGTTTCCACGGCCCTCGACACATCCTGCAGAGCTGCTGGATCTCAGAGAATCCCCTGCATGGCCCAGTCCGATCTTGCCGCAGCCCTGCCCACCCCGCCCTCCCCCCCAGACCTGGCGGCGGCCCAGGGGGGTGGCGCGAGAGGGGCGGGCTTCTGCGAAGACAGGGGCCTTCTAGAAGGCCCCGGGTGCTCATGGGAAGCCTTCGGAGAGGCCTCCCCGGCCTTTTCTGCCTTCTCTGCGCAGGCCCGCCCTGCCTTCTTAGAAGGCCCCCCTCTCCGCGCCACCAATTTTGGGACGCCGCCAACATCCCCCGTCCCCATGGGGGGGGGGCGACAGAGGTGGAACGTTGCGCGTCGAAGTCTTTGAGGTCTTCGGACAGACCGTTGGTTCTCGGCGGCTGTCCAGCCTCGGGCTGCCTGCCATCGGCTGCGCCTCGCCGAGGGCGCTCCAGGGGCGCCCGCACCGCCCCGAACGGCCGCCAGAGGCCCGAGCGGGACCCGAAAACCGCCAGGGGTCAGCTCAGGGGGGAGGGGAGGGCATCGAGCTGGCATCGGCGACGCGTCGCGCCGACAGATCGGTGATGGGCCCCCGATGGCGAGATGCCGGACGCCCCTCGTCGCCGCGCCGTGGCCGCGCCTCGTCTTGGTTCCCGGGCGCGCGCCGCGCCGCGCAGGGAGAGGGGCGCCCGCCGCGCCGCCCGCGCTGCATCCTCGGGGGGCCTTCGGGGGCGCCCACGGTCCGGCTCGAGTCGCCAGCGGAGCGGCGCAGCAAAAGATAAAACAGGGCTAGGATCGGGATCAATCGCTCCAGAGCGTTCCGGAGCGCTCTCAGAGCGTTCCGGAACGCTCTGGAGCGGCCGCGGCGCCCAATACATCGTCCAAACCCGCCGATTCTCAGAGATTTCGAGTTATCCCCATCCGATTTTGTCCCGATCTTCGCGTCGTTGTAAGAGAGGGGGCCGTCGGCGCCCGACGCTGGCGCGCGAGCTGCCCTCGTCGCCGAGGCAGCGTGCCGCGCCCGCGGCCCGCGCAAGCCACCGCGTGGGGTCGCCAGGTCAGCTCGCGTGAGGCCCGTTTCTGATCGTCGCTCCGCGGCTGGCCGCGCGCAGAGAGGGGAGGGGGGGGAGGGCTCCTTGCAAGCACCCCTGCTGCTCAGAGGGCGCGGGCCTGCTCTGTAGATGCAGGGCCAGCGCCTTCAAGAAGCAGCCTCCTCAGAAGCCTTCCCCCCTTCCCCCACCCCTTGTGCGCGGCCAGCATCTTGACTAGGACAGGCTGGCATAACAACGAGCGTACGATTCGGCATGCATTGGCGCGATTTTGACACAGGATCCACGTGGATCCGATGCAACATCGACGCTATCAGCGACCTGATAGGACAGACTGGGCCCCCCGAAGATGCAACACGATCTTGCACCGCGTCAGTCTAGTACAGCAAATCAAGTACGGTCGGACCGATGTATTAGAAGGATGTCGGTTCGGGAAGGGTACCTTAGTGTTCTTCGTATTTGTTGGAATTTCTTCTGCATCCTGGGGAGGCACCCTGGATGTTCTGTTTGTTTTGGCCGGCTGAGGATATTGTGTTCTTGAGGGAAGTTTTTCTGGCCTAGGTCCGACCGTACAGCAGAGACCCCAGACCTCCAGGCGTCGCGAAAAAAACATACATCACACGACATCACGATGGTATAGTCAACCCGTATAAGAAGGATGCGCTGTGAGGATGCAAGGGCTTTGGAGGTTCACGTTCACGTTTTTCGAACGAGGTTGGCCAGCGAACGTTAACAAGGATGGGCCGAAGGGACAAGGATGCAAGGGTATCCATCGGTCGTTGAAAGTAGGTATCCTTAGAAACCCAGACTCCAGTCAACATTGAGCGCCTTCCTACTTCAAGGGGCGGACGGAGCCCAATCTACTTTCAACGCCTTCCTACTTCATGACTTCCGACCGATGGGTAGCCTTGGGAAGCCGCTCATCCTCACTGTCGCAGGCCCAGAGACTGACACCAACACCACTCTCGGCGGTGTGCGTCTACCGAGGGAAGAAGATCCCGATCTCGTTGATGGTGGTAGTATTCTGGCTTCCAGGGTGGCCGAACTATTGCCACCGACACCAAAATCTAGGATCGTCGTCCCCATGTGGAGGCAACCCCCTGTGCTGGTATTGGTGCCCATGTCTAGGCCTCCAACACCTGTGCGGGCTGACTCTACACTTGCTCCCCTCCAGCTCGGCCTCTGGGGAGCGCGCTCCGCGGGCCCCGGGGGGGGGCCACCGGAAACACGACGCTCCGCGGCGGAGAGCTCGGGTCGAGGGCCCCAAGGGGGCCCCCATGTCGTGCACAACAATCGGGGGCGGACAGAGCCCCCAACAGGGACACGTCGATTAGTGAATTGTCCGTTTTCGGTTCTCGAGAGGGCGCCGTGGCCGTCATTTTCCGGGCTCGCGCCCGCCAGGTTTGGGCCGCAGGTCATTTTCACTAACCACGTTTTATTAAAGGGGGTCTGTCTATCCCCGAAAGAAGCGCCACGCCGGAGGCCTTGGGAAGTGCCATCATCCCCGCGAGGGGATCGCGCACGCCGGCCGGAATGTCCGAATTCATCGGCATTACACCAGGGGCAACGTCAGGGGGGGCTGGCCCAGAAGGGGGAAGCATCGATCGCCAGATTCAGAGGAGGGCAGGGTGAGACAAGGGTGACGTTTTTGACTTTTTCGCCTCCGAGGGGCCTCCTCGTCGCCACGGCTGGACGCAGCGTGAAAAATCGGTGCGCTTGGACCCCTGGAGGGGTCCAGGGACCGATTTTGAGCCGATTTGGCCACCGTTGTCTCACGGCCGTTGCCTCACGTTGCCCTCCTCCGACAGATGCCCAGTCTTCGCCGAGAGGGGCCTGATGGCCCACCCCGCCCAGGAGCGTGCGCTTTCGCCATCGCTGTCGAGCGCCCCTTGCCGGTGTGTCGCCGATGCGAGGTCGATGTGTCCCATCCTGAGCTGGTCCCCCCCCCCCATGGTTCCCCCTCGCTACAGCAACTCGGGTGTAATGCCACAGAGTTCCGGCCGCCTTTTCAAGGCGAACGACATATGATCGTCGCTGCCGTCTGGCACTCTTGGGGTCTGGCGAGCGCCATCGCAACTTGTTCTGGTGTCCGCGAGTTTGAACCATTTGAAGCGCGTCACACTGCATGCCTCGGCCAGGCCTGGTGTTTCTGGCGGTTGAGACGTTACAAGTACTCAAGAGGCTTACGCAAGTACGAAGACCCCCAGACGAAGTGAGGCCTTGTGGGCGTCGTGAGTCCTCGTCGGAGCTTCCTGGGCTGTTTCTTGGACGCCGCCGCGCGCATGGGAGGCCTTCAAGTGTCCGGGCGCGTCGGAGGAGTGGCCGCCGCGCAGTCGCTGCTCAGCGCATGGGGCGCACTTATCCTGCGCTTCTCGGGAGGGAGCACCGAACTAGGCGGCGCGTCGCGCAGGAAGCGAGGTGCTTCCCGAGTGACGTCGCGGAGGGTCGATAGAGTTTTCTCATCTTGGGATTCGGAGGAATGAGGGAGAAAAGGGTGATCTAGATACGACGGCGGTGAGAGGAAGAAGGAGAAGGAGGGTACCGAGGGCAACGGGACGGTTTGTCATGGTATCCGGGTTTGATCTCCCCTCGTGAAGTTGGGAGGTGTCTTTGGAGGTTCTCGGGAGCCTCCCTAGGGGGGCATCTCTGAGCACTTTTTGACACCTCCTGGAGCTCATGGGGGCATCTTCTGGGCCTGCTGGCGGCCTAGGCGCTGGCCTCTTTGACTCTTGTCGAGGCTCCTGGGGCCACTTGGGGCCTCTTGGAGTCACCTTGGCGGGGGCTATCTTCTGGGGAAGGGCTCCCGGGGCCTGTGCGGGTTCCCCCTCCTGGGCCGCTCTTGGGCTTCTCTAGGGGCCACATTCAGGTTTTTGTTCGTCGTCTTGTGGGCCGTTTGGGTCGTCTTTGGGGCCCTCTTTGGCCGTCCCTGGGCCGGTTTGAGGGTCTCTTGGGCCGGATTGGGCCTGTCTGGAGGGCCTCTTGGGTCGTCTTGCGCATGCAGACGCCAGAGAGTCGAGAAGGCCAGCGACAATCATACAAAACCGACAGGGGAACCCTTGCATTTTCCTCTTGAGGCCTTCTGGGGGGTCCTCCTGGGGCTTTCTTTCAGCGTCTCTGGCAGTCTTGCGCCTATCTTGAATGTTTTGGAGGCCTCTCCGGCGTATTTCGGTCCTCCTGGTGCCATATGAAAACATATCTTGGGATCTCGGCGGCCATGGAGGGCGGATTTGCAGGCTCTGGAGGCCCCAGGGGTGTGCTGGGGAGACCAGGGACCCCCCCCTACCTAGAACGCGATTTGGGACCCTGCCAGGGGTACAGTCGGGGCCCTGAAGAAGGAACCCTTTTTGTTGGGGAGGGGCTCCGGGTTCCTTAGTTGCTCTACAGTGCTCCCTGGGTTTTCCTGTGGTTTTCCACGGAACATCGGAGTATGGGAAAAAGGGGCCTCGTTCCGTATTTATCGTTCCTTAGGTCGACTCCCCGACTGTGTGGGGGACAGCCGAAGGCCCCCCACGAATTATCATCCCCGGCAAGCGGGGGTCGGCGGACTCGGTGCAGCTGCGTTACCTCCCTCCTTCTTTCTCTTGTTGTTGTTCTTCTTCTTCTTCTTCTTCCCGACCCCACCGAAGCGCAGAAGCCGTGAGGCACCTCAAGGGAAAGAGAGGATGAGGAGCAGGAGGTGGAGGAGGAGGAGGAACAGGAGGAGGAGGAGGAGGAAGAGGAGAAGGAGGAGGAGGAGGAGGAGGAGGAGGAGGAGCCCCCCCCCTCCCTCTCTCCCGTCCTCCCCTCCTTTCCTCCTCCATGCCTCCCCTCTCCTCCCCTGCTCTCTCCCTCCCTCCCATCTCTGCCTCACTTCCCCGTCCTCGCCCCCTCCCTTGCTGACCCGAGCACCTGCACTGGGAGGCGTGCGTCCAGGTCCCGCGCCCACGAGCCCCGCCACCAGCGCCCGCGCGCGCGCGCGCGCCAACGGTTTCAATCTTTGGGGTGTGGCGCTCACATTTTTAAGCGTAGGGTGACAATTGATACACGGAACGGGGGTCGGAGCGTTGAAACACTAGTGTTCCCCCGCCTGAACGGCTTGGGAGGGGGGCGATCGAAGAGTTTTGAAGGCGACGACGAAGCCCGCGAGCCAGCGTGGAGCACAACCTGTCAATCCTCGCTCAGGGCGTTGCTGCATAACGCTTCCCCCCCCTCCTGGGCCTTGATCGTCACCCTATTTCAGTAGGAGCCGCCTACGCAGCGACACCGCCAAAGCGGGCCAGGCCAATTCTGGCTTCGGGGCCGACGCAGCCCTGCCCCGCTCCCAGCGCCCCGTGCGCCGCCGCCCTCTGGGCATGTGGCTGGGGTGCTCTCGGAGTCGGCGCGTGCGTCTGAAGGCCTCCATGGAGGCTTCGGTGGCCCTCAGAAACTTCTGGGGGAGGAAGGAGGACGAGGGACAGGAGCAGAAGGAAGAGGAGGAGGAGGAGGAGGAGGAGGAGGTGGAGGAGGCGGAGGCGGAGGCGGAGGCGGAGGTGGAGGCGGAGGTGCAGGCGGAGGCAGAGGCGGAGACGGAGGAGGAGGAGGAGGATGAGGAGCAGGAGTCGGAGTCGGAGGAGGAGGAGGAGTAATAGAACGAGGGAGGATGAGGAGCAAGAGGAGGAGGAGGAGGGGGAGGAGGAGGCGGTTAAGGACGAGGGGCAGAGGAGGAGGAGGCGGAGGAATAGGAGGAGGGAAGATGAGGACGAGGAGGAGCAGGAGGAGGAGAAGGAGGAGGAGGCGGTTGAGGAGGAGGAGGAGGAGGAGGAGGAGGAGGCGGAGGAGGAGGAGGGCGGATACGTATGATGATGATGTTGCTGCTGCCGATGCTGATGATGATGATGATGATGATGATGAAGACGATGATGATGATGATGATGATGATGATGCTGATGCTGATGCTGATGCTGATGCTGATACTGATGCTGCTGCTGCTTATGATGATGATGCTGATGCTGATGCTGATGCTGCGGCTGATGATGATGATGCTGATGATGATGCTGCTGATGATGCTGATAATGATGAGAATGATGATGATGATGATGATGATGATGATGATGATGATGATGAAGAAGATACTTATGATGCTGATGCTGATGCTGATGCTGATGATGCTGCTGATGATGACGATGATGAACATGATGATCATGATCATGATCATGATCATGGTGATGAGGAGGAGGAGGAGAAGGAGTGTTTTTTGTTTGTTTGTTTGTTCTCTCTCTCTCTCTCGCCCTGTGTGTGTGCGCGTGTTGTCCCGTGAGGGGCTGGCTGACTGGCGCCCCGGCGGCCCCCGCGCGAGTGTCCACTCACTAACCTTATAACAGTGCGTGCATGCGTGGGTGCGTGCGTGCGTAGGTGTGTGTGTGTGTGTGTGTGTGTATGTGTGTGTGTGTGTCATTCCCACGAGTGCTTTTAGTTGTGCGCCTTGATTCCAGAACTGTTGCGCGAGACCTCAAAACTTAGATGCTGTGGCACACATAATTGAATTCTGAGTCTACGGGATGCGAGATGCGTCCATGCTGGGAGTTTTTTTTGCCCACGCAAAGGTTCGCCACAACTATTTACATGGAACTGTCAGACGGCTGACT